GACAGGAGGAGGAGGAGGAGGGAGAAAGGAGGATGGAGAAGGAAAAGATGGAGAGAGGAGGAGGAGATGGAGGAGGAGAAGGAAGAGAAGACGGAGACAGCGGAGGAAGCGAAGGAGGAGAAGGAATTATATGGAGAAGGGAAGAAAGGAGAAGGAGGAGGAGATGGAGACAGAGGAGGAAGAGGAGGAGGAGGGATAAGGGAGGAGGAAGGAGAAAGCAAAGAAGGAGAAAGAGAAGAAGGAGAAGATGGAGACAGAGGAGGGAGTGGAGGAGGAGGGAGAAAGGAGGAGGGAGAAGGAAAAGAAGAAGATGGAGACAGAAGGAAGAAGAGAACGGAGAAGGAAAAAAGGAGAAAGAGGAGGAGAAGATACGACAATTAAGAAGATGAATGGCTCTCTTCAAAAAAATCAGCACAATAATTAATGCTTGTCACCATCCGGAAGGAGCGGAAATAAAAGAAGATAATTCCATCCAGAGATATATATTCCCAGAATCCTCTAAGAGTTGAGCTGGGAAGATCAGATCACAGATGAGAACAGATAATCCGAGTTGGAAGGGACCTTGTAGATCATCTAGTCCAACCCCCCTCCCCCCACCCCCAAGCGGGAGACCCTACACCATTTCGGGCCAATGGCAATCCAATCTCTTCTTGAAAGCCTCCAGGAATTGAGTTCCAACAACTTCTCCACAATTTATAGATCAGGTGATCTATAAAACACTGGTCCAGCTCTCTCTCTCTCTCTCTTTCTCTCTCTCTCTCTCTCTCTACCTCTCTCTCTCTCTTTTCCTAATCCTTGTTAATGTTTAGCAGAAGACGGGAAGAAAAAAAGCAAAAGAAAACAGAAGAAAAAGAACATTAAAACTCTCTAAGAGGGTTTGTTTTTCTTCCCCCCAACCTTTCTGCTCTGGGCTTCCCCTTCCTGTTGTTTTTAAGTGGTGGATTTAAATCTGAAAAGTCCAGAGGAAGAGATTCTGGGGTGATTTTTGAATTTGGGAGGAAATAATCTTCCTCAGGAACAACCACGGTATTGTTTAACTCGCTTTGAGCTAACCGTGTTTGGGCATATAAGAGGAGAAGTCAAATTGCAGGGATTTGACAACGGAGTAAGGTAGATTTGAAAGAATCCTGGAGGCTCTGCCTGTACAGTTCTGTCTTCAAGTTTCCCTCCTCCTGTGCACAATCCCCCCCCCAAACACAAACAAGCACACACAAACACAATCTCACACAGTAAATCACACTTCCAGCCTGGCTTCCCCGAAGCACCAAATTGCAAATCCTCCCTTGCAAATGATCATTCGACGTCTGATCTTTCCTTTTTCCCTTCCTGATTCTCTCACGTTCCTTTCTTCCAGAAGACACCCACCCCCTCTCCATCCTCCCAATCCCCCCAGTTGAAAAAAAGTGTGGGGGGGTAAGCCAGTCCCCCTCCCCCAATGGGGGGGAATGATAAAGCCCCCCACCTTCCCGCCCAGATAAATCCTGGATTAATGGATCATGGGATAGGGTGTTGTGCCGGATTGTGGGAAATTCAGATTTTTTTTTCCCGTTAGCAGCGAAAAACTGCTTTGAACAAAGGGGGGAAAAAAACCCACACAATTATTTTTTGTTGCTGGATGTTGTGCTCGAAGTGTGGGGGAAAAAAAACACAAAACTTTGATTGTGGGTTTTACCAATTACGTCGGGTTGTTGTTACAGAAATGGCAAGTTTGCAAAAGTTAAAAAAAAAAAAAAACAAGGTTGGAGGTTATGATCTTATTCCACTCCACCAAAAAGTCCGTTTTGTCTTTCTTTTTCCTTTCTTTTCTAGATTTTCCCCTTCCTTTTTTTTTCCTCCCTTGTCTCTCCTATTATTTGCTTGTGCTTTTTTTTTTTGTGTGTGTGTCTTTTATATTAACAAACGAAAAGGATAATGTAAAGAGGAGGGGAAGAAAAAATTTTATTTTTCCTGCATGCACCACTAATATTTTCTTGTCTTGGTGGTGGTGGTGGTGGTGGGGGCTCTTGCTGGGACTCCTTTGGCACCCCAAATTAGGGGGAAAAAGGCAGAGATGGGGGAAGGGAGAAGGAAAAAAAGAGCCACCGTGGTGGAAATCCGGCGCCAACATTTACAGTAGAAAAAGTGAAAGAAAACAGAAGTTCTGAATCATCCTTTTTTTTTCCCCTGCTACAACAACTTTTCGCTTAAAAAAACTATTTATTGCTGCTTCGGTTCCTATTTCTTCTTCTCTGCCTGCACAAAAACAAGAGGGGCCCCGTTTTGTTCCAGAGAAAGGAAGAAAAAGGGGGTGTCCCCCTCCCCCCATTTTTCCTGTCTAGATTTCGTCTTTTTTAAAACTTTCCCGCAGCCTCGAGGCCTTCGTGGACGGAAGTTACGGCTGTTTTGGACGTTCACAACGGCCCTGCAGTGTGGGGCAGATTAGAAATGACCACCATTTACTAATCCTTTCTTTCCTTCTCTCTTCTTTACCTCTTTCCTTCCTTTTTCTTTCTTGTTTCTTTCCTTTCTTTCTCCTCTATTTACTTCTTTTCCCTTCCCCCTTTCCTTTCCCTTCCCTTTCTCTTCCACCTTTCCATTTACTTTCTTTCCTTCTCCTTCCCTTCTTCCTTTCCTCTTCCTCCTTTCCTTTCCTTCTCCTCTATTTACTTCCTTTCCTCCTTTCCTTTTTCTTCCTCCTTTCCTTCTCTATTTAGTCTTTCCTTCTCCTTCCCTTTCCCTTCTTCCTTTCTCTCTTCCTCCTTCCTTTCCGCTTATTTTTCCTTTCCTTTCCCTTCTTCTTCCCTTCCTTCTTTCCTTTCCTCTCCTCTCTCCTTCCCTACCCTCCCTTTCCCTCCTTCCCTTTCCCTCCTTCCGCCCCTACCGTTTTTCTTCTTCTTTCCTCCCTTCCTGACATTCTTTCCATCCTCCCCTTCTTTCCCCCTCTCTCCTGGCCTCTTTCCTTCACGGCTCTCTCTTTCTTTCCCTTCTCTCTGTTCTTCCTCTCTCTTGCATACCTGCTCACCGTTCCTCAGAGTCAAACACACACACACACACGGACACAAACACGCCAACCAATTCCCCTTCTTCTTTCAAAGGCAGAAGCTCCAAGAAACGTAGAAAAATTGTGCCCAGGTTGGCAGCTGGGATGAAAACAGACCCAACTCCGCCTCCCTCACCTGAATGACCCTAACCTGAAACTCGGTGGGAAAACACACACACACACACCCTGGCACACACAAACACACACAAAATAGTCTTTGTTTTGCAAGCCTTGGCACCTCCACCGCCCGTCCTTAAACCGCCAGCAAGAACGCAAACTCGAGCCGTCTCACCTGGCCGCTCGCAGGGCAAGGGGGTGGCCGCGAAGCCGGCCGCGGATGCCAGGATGTGGGCCATCAAGGTGGCACCAACCAGCCCCATGATGCCAAGGCGATGCCCCGCGGCCCCAGGGCTCCTGCCGGCGCCTGCCAGCCCTCGGTCAGCCTTTGCTGGTTGCAGAGAAACATTTGAGGAACTGCCAAGCGGAGGCTGTTGAAGTTAGCCGAGTGTCCCTTTCGGGGCGGGTGGGTGTTGTGAAAGCAGGTGGAGAGGTTGAGCAATGGGGTGGAGCTGGAAAGGGGAGGGGAGGGGGGTGTGGGGGGGCAGGAGGGGGAGGGCAGAGCATGGGTGGGTGGATGGGGGGAAAATACGCCGGCCTTGTGCCGAAAGAAAATTATTATTATTTTTTTTCCTCCCCCCGTTTCTCAGCTCTTTTCTGTTTCAAAACGAGTCGTTTTCAAGGGCCCGAGCATTTTTGCCAAAACATCTGGCCGGGGAAGTCCTCGGCTTACGACCCACAGCCGAGCCCCGTCGCTAAGCGAGACACTTGGGGAGTTTGGCCTCCCTTGTTTGCCACCACCCCCCCCCGTTAAGGGAGTCGCTGCGGTGAAGTGAGTGAAGCCGGTTGTGAGTCTGGCTTTTTTCCCTCCCCGCCGTTGTTAAGAAGGACGCAAAAGGGAATCGCCTGAGTGATGGTCATAAATACAAGCCAGTGGCCCGTTTTGAGCACGGGACCAACGTGCAGATGCTGGCCAAGGTCGCGTTGGGGTGAAAAGCGCCCCCCCTTCTCCTTTTTCCCCCCCAGGGCCGTTGTAACTTTGAACGGTCACTAAATGGAACTTGGAAACTTTGACGTGGTCGTTAAGTCGAGGACCGCCGGTAGATGGCTCCGGAGGGGGAGCTGGGACGATGTCGGCAAACAGCCCCACGCGCCACCAAGGAAGAGGTTGCAGGTGCGTCGTTTAGCCTTTTAGGTCTCTCGAGTGAGCGAGCCAAGCTGGGCGGGGCGGGGCTTTCCCACAGCCTGGCCACACCCACATGTCCCTTCACTGTTTTCCAGAGTGATAAGATGCGTTATGGGATTTTAAAAAAAAAAAATGTACACCCGATCTGACTTTGGGCGAGTATCTGAGGTTATCCCCTCCCCAGTTCTACTCCGATAGCGTCTTAAGAGAGGGCAACTTAAGTTTCTAGACCTCGTGGTGGCAATAGGGAAACCATCAAATGTATTAAAAGCTATCTCTCTCTCCATTGCTGCAAATTCCTTCTTTAAAAATGAAGAGGAGTAGGAATTGAGGGGGAGATACTCATTGTTGGCCCCCCTCCCACACACACAGAAACATACTGAACAGGTAAGTCCTTGACTTACGACCACAATAGGGTTTGGATTTTTTTTTTGTCGTTAAGTAGGCATGTCAAGTCATCATCTGCCCGGATGTGGGTTTTTTTTTTTAAAAAAAAACATTTTTACCACGGTCGTTAAGCAAGTCACGGGTCATTAAGTGAATCCCATGCCAACCCAGCAAAATTTGGTTTCCTCGACCGATTTCGCTTGTCGGACGACAGCTAGGAAAGTCACAAATTGCGACGGGTAACCAGTCACGATTGCAAGAACAGATCATAGATCCCCTTTTTTCCCGTCACTTCGAACCACTGAGAAACAAACGGCCGTAAGTTGAGGACTACCTCTGCCCCAGACAGCCCCATCCAACAAGATCCCTTAGGAGATCTGCCTTAATAAAGGCATAACACTGGGGGGTGAAAAAAAAAAAACCACATTATTGTTATTATTACATAAAAGGCAATTTCTCTTTATAGTCATAAAACAATAACAATTCTGCCCAGTATAGAAATGTAAAATAAATTATACTGAATGTTCCTTAATCTCTGCATGGCACGGGGGCAGTTTCACGCCCCCCCCTCTTCTGCCCCAAAACGGAGAGGCTGTGCCCAAATTGGATTTATCCCGCACCTCTCCCACGCGGACAAAACATGTCCTCTTTGGTATCGAAGTCGAAAGAACCAAGCAACGTCCCCCTTGCTCGTGGGATGGCCCATCTCAGATTGGTTCAATCTCGTCAGTGGTGTAAATTTTGCAAGTGGAGCAACGGAAGAGCTCGGACAATCCCAAACTTGCCAGTTTCCTCCTCCTCCCAATGATCTCTTGGGACTGTCGCTTTTTTAACCAGCTTAGTCACTGTACCAATTAAAACGTGGATGCGCTGGGAACTCTGTCGGTACCGGTTGGTTGACGCGCTCCAATTACCCCTCTGTTTCTGGGGATGTGGAAAACTTGTCCCACCGTATTTGGCTACGGAGAAGATGTCTTACTTCAAGGCAACAGGGTAGATTTGCAAAGGGTTTCCCCCCCCCAAAAAATAGATCTCAGGGGCCCCACCCCCCTCCCAATTCTGCATTTGGACGAAGAAAACCACTGTGGAGGTTCTGCAGAATCGGTTATCCTTTGTCTCGTAACGGTCGTGCCCATTTCTGGACGAATTGTCTACCCCAACAGGATAGCATGGCTTTAAGGGATCTGGCGAGAGTCTGCTCCATCGATCTGCAGTTAAGGATGTAGCAGGATATCTTCGCGGGTCTCTGCAGACCGAGACAGATCCCAAGAAGGTGAACTGTTTCTTCGGAAGGAAGTGGAAGCTGTACAGATCTCGACAAGTTTGACCGCAGGAAGAAATGAGGTGTTTTTTTGCAACCGGTACTCTTTCGCAATGTTACTCTTGGTTTACTCTGGCCCGATTTGGTGGTCCCTGTTTTCCACGAGTTCATGGGACACGGGAAGTGAGGGCCAAGAAGGTCAAGGAAGAAACTCTTTGCAATCGAAAAGTCCGACATGATAATACAAAAATAAAATCTCTTTACTTTCTCCCCTCGTACGGGAGATCCAAAGCCTCCGAGGGATGCCCGGGCAGACGTGGTGCAAATCCTGAACTCTCCTTGGAAGATTTTGGGGTGGAGCGCCCCTCTTGTAAGTCTGAAAGCACTCGGTCCTCTTGTCTTTAAACCGAAAAGAGCCACGTTTCCATGTGCCAAGATTTGGACGTCGCCGCAGAGCGACTCTTTTCTTCAACCTGAGTATTGGATGCCAAATGCTTTTATAGTAAGGCGGGCCTCGTTGGCTGCTCCTGGGAGTATTTGACCCGGTGTCTTTCAAATGCCAGCTGGACATCCAGACGAGGAGTAGGAGAATCCTTGCTCTTTTGTAAACGAGAGGCGTTTGTGAGATTATTTTCTCTCTCCCGCGCTCTCTCCCGGGGTTAAAAAAAATGGCAAACCCAAAGCAAAGGCTACAGGGTTGTAGTAGGAGGGCTCCTACATCTCCCACAGTCCTAACCTTCATCTTACACTCCCCAATTTTCTTGATTTGTAATACTTTGGAGAAATGATGTCACGTTACCTGAACGAGGAGTTATCCCTGGGTTCAAAAATAGAGCGCAAACCCTTGAAGGGTTTTCTGTCCGAGTAGAGGAACACTTAAATGTCCCACCTTCGCTGACCAGCTAGAGCGAGCTACCTCAAATACACCGGCAGCTTGAATTTGGGGAAGGCGTGGGTGCTACGTGATTTGGTTACATGGTGATAGCTTTAGACTTCAAGCCACGGTTCTGAGTTCTCGGCCATGGCTACGAAGACCGATCTGCTCCCGTTTAGCGAGCCCCCTTTCTCACATCCTCACGGCGGATCGAGATCTTTAACACACGGGTCCATCCATCGTCTATGATGCTCCCCTGGTGTTGTGTCATACTTTCACCGCCTTATCGGGCACGCTGGGCTCGCTGCCACCGCCGCCGCTGTTTTTCTTCTTCCGCAGCGTCTCGATCCAGCTGGTGCTGGGGCGGCCGCTGAAGCTGGAAAGGGCCAGCGAGCTGAGCCGCATGTTCTTGCCGGAAGTGATGAGCTCCCCAAAACCTTCCTGGTGGGAGAAGGCGTAGCCCGAGCGTCGGGAGCCCGCACGCCCCACGCGGCCCATGCAACGGTGTTGGGTTTTCTGCTTCTTGCGAACCAACTGAGTGTAACGCACCTGGAGAAGAAAGCGGAGTGAAGGGATGTCAACGCGAGAGGCTAATTGGCCCCGCGCCAAAAACTTCCCACTTTTGCGCCTTCTGAATCGTGCCAGCACTCCTAATCCCTAACCCCAAACCCAACCTTACTCCCAGCCCTAACCCCCACTCTAACCCTAACCCCACCGCTAACTCTAACCTCAACCCTAACTCTTATTCTAACACTAACCCTAACCCCAACCCCAACTCTAACTCCAACTTTACCCATAATCCTAAACCCCATCCCTTTTTAAAAACTGCAGGTACTCCTTGATTCACAATGATCCGTTTAGCGACCGTTGGACATTACGACGGCACTGAAACAAGAGACCCACCGTAAACTAAAAAAAAAATGGGTCCGCCCCATCCCGTCCACCCAGGGAGGGAAATTTCCCCGAGAGGAAGGCGAAGAAGGGAAGGCCTGGGTTCTACGTGCTGGCATTCACTCACTGTGTCTGAGAGTTCTGGCCGGAGGTCCAGTTTGAGGAAGCGGAAGGCAACGACGGGCATGATGCAGACCACGGTGGTCAGAGCGATGGTGAGCCACACCGCAGGTTGGGCCAAGGTGTTTTGGGCATTGCCTGGCACGAAGGAGAGAAAAACGGTTGACGGGGAGGAGGCCAGCAGACGGGAATGAAGTGTCAGGATTCCAGCGGTTGCCCAAATTGAATCGGGATCCTCGAGCCAAACTTCAAAAAACTTCCATGGATTCATTTAGAGGCGACATCCTGGCACTGCCGCCCTAGATGAAGCCAACTCTGCCCTACGTCATTGACGGTCCCCTGTGACTCTGGTTCCCTCCTCTCCCCCCACCACCACCCGGGTGTGTCCTAAATCAGATTGGCGATAAAAGGCTCGATTGAAATCGACTCGATTTAAATCGTAGCTTTTAAAAGAGTCACTGGTGTGAAATTTATGTGGACGCATAAAGGCAGGGCATGTTATCTTGGCTTTCGGAGCTTGGATTCACCGAAGGAATATTTACCCAAAATTCCAAATATTGCAGGATATGTACGGCCTCTTACTCCAAAAGCATTTGATTAAAATAAATGTGATAAAAAGAAAAGAAAAGATCCGATTTAAATTAATAAAAAAAATCCGATTTAAATCCCAAAAAAATCCGATTTAAATCCAAAAAAACCCGATTTAAATCCCCAAAAAATCCGATTTAAATCCAAAAAAAATCCCGATTTTTTTTCTTTTGATATATTTTTTTTTCAAATAAATCCTCCATTTTTATCCACCCTACCCCGAAAACAGAAAGGGTATTTATTTTTCCCCCCTCCCCACCGGACTCACCAACAAAACGGAACTGGTTGGGGAAGATCTGGAACAGGCCGTTGCTGTGCATGACGAAGAGGATGGCAAAATAAACCGCCAGGCTGCCCCAGATGAAAAAGTGGTTGATGGCCGTCCAGAAACCGGTATCCAGGCCGATCTGTTGACGGGAGAGGAAAGGTGACCACCAGGAGATCCCCCAGCGTCTTATTCCTTCGCACTTATTCCCAGGAGCCTTTGGCAAACGCCACTTGGTGCCAAATCCTTAGTAAAACCCATGGCAGGGGGCCCCAGTGGCCCCCCTCCCCAATCTGCAAACCCCACTCCAAGAGATTTGAATGCCAACGGGCAAGGAGAAGACCTCAACGAGGTTTTCGTGCGCAGTTATTTTGGGGGGAAGGGGACGGAGATCGGAGAAGGCGGGGGGCGGTGGGGAGATCCACGCCACGCACCTGGACGCTGACCACGATGACGAGGGACGTGGCTACGGTGACGGCGAAGGACTGGTAGTCGGCCAGGTGGGCGTTGTCGCTGAAGACCCCGTAAGGGATGAAGAACATGAAGATGGAGGCGTAGATGCCCTGCGCAATGCAGATGAAAAACTCGCGCTTGTTGAAAAGGAGGTTCAGCTGCCCCGGTTCGTAGAGTTTGGGGTACTCCAGGCTGCGGTGCTCGGGCACATCCTGGAAGAAAGAGAGAGAGAGAAAGAGGGAGAGAGAGAGAGAGAGGGAGGGAGGGACAGGGACGGAGGGAGAGAGAGGAAGGGTCAGTGGCTGCCCAGAATTTGGTTGGCCAGATTATTTCCTTCCTTCCTTCCTTCCTTCCTTCCTTCCTTCCTTCCTTCCTTCCTTCTCCTTTCTCTTCTCCTTTCTTCTTTCTTTCCTCCCTACTTTTCTTCCTCTTAGCCTTCCTTCCTTCTCCTTTCTCTCTTATCCTTCCTTCCTTCTCCTTTCTCTCTTATCCTTCCTTCCTTCTCTTTTCTCTTATCCTTCCTTCCTTCTCCTTTC